TTTATTAGAAGAATCCTTAAGAGGAGTGGTGACCTTCAGAATTTATTTTAAATGTTGATATAAAATGTTCCTCATGAGATGAGATAATGAAGAAGTTGAATTTGTACATTCTTCTAATTCCCAGAATCTCGATAGATTAGGATAGTCATTGCAAAATTGTAATGAATAAAATTATTAGAAAGAGTAGGTAGGAGGACCTGATACAATCCAGCCAAATTTCCTTTTTTGAAGGATAGGTTTACATGGATCTAATCGAATTTGACCTACTGAAAGAAGTTCCCAGAATATGGAAAAAGCAATGAAAATATCTATTTTAGATGGTTTGAAACTTGGATCAGCTAATCTTATATTTGGAGGAATTGAATGTGAAGAGGTGTCTATAGGGTAGCTAGGAAGTGAACAACTGAGTATAATAAATGAAGAGAAAAATCAGAATGAACTGATTGAATTGAAAATGAACATATTACTAATGCCTGAAACAGCAATCTTAATTTTTTGGGTGGTTAATCCTAGCTTGTTACACAAGTCATCGCAAATAAAGTTTTATTGGGAACCGGAATCAATTATGGCTTTGCAAAAATGCGTTTTACCTTAAGAAGGATTACCACAATTGAAATATGCGTTTCAGAAGGATGAGAAGCAATTAAAACTGAAGATTCCTTAGGATGTGCAGGTCGTAAATTTTCTGTTTTTTTTTATTAACACTTATATTAATTTAAGAAATGAGGTTCATTGCAATATTGCCATTTAGCTTGTATCGACACAAATGACTTAGAATTATTACCTTCGCATGATGAGAAGGTTCGTTGCTCACAAATGGGGTAAAACTTTAAGATCCAATAAATCCACGATTTTCCCATGCAAAAATTTTAATGAAAATTAAAGGTTTACAGGTAAGTAATAAGAAGAAACAGGCAAATTGTATTATTACAGTTTCTTTAATGGCGATCGATTTCGGGCTTGGCATTTATTGCCCATCATCAGGCCCTGCGTCAAAAAGATGGTGGCAAACGAACGTGAATTAATACAATTTGTATTAATTGTATTATCAAACTGACAGCGATTCTATCACATAATACATTGCAAAGCTACGGAAATATGTAAATAATTTCAATGTGAGTGTGGTAAATCGGTAGCAGAAATCTTTTTACGAGCACAATTCGATCCGTGATACCAGAAAATAACTACTAAAGGAAGTACATCATACCCATATAAGTATCGTAAAAATGCAGCAATTGCGAGAAAATACTACTCTTGGAAAAGCATCGATAAGGACATCAAATTAAATTAGATCTTGGTTACAGCTTGAAAAGGCATATAGACCAGCTTGCCAAAACAAGCATCCCTCCAAAGACAAGACTGAAATTCCAATACGATCGACAGGAGAGCATTAAAGACAAACAGAAGACTGAGAGAAAGGACGAAATGATAACCCCGACAGCAAATAGAGCGACTAGAAACTGTATATATCTGTAGAATGAGTCGTAGCCTACCGATAGATCAATGAGCAGAGTGAAAATGTTTTTATTTATTGTTGAATTATATCTACTTGATCAAAAAATTAATATATAGGTATAATGTAAAGTTCAAAAAATCTTTGAACACATTCTCTTTAATTCTGTAGTTATTAATATTATAATTAACGGACGCGTTTAAATTTTGTAAACCGAGGCGTAAACCATTTGGTTGGCCTAAATTCCATCTTCAATAATGCCAATGGTACCCCTGCGAAGACACCCATTTTGTGATAGTCCGTAAAAATAACGCGTTGTAATCTTGTAGTGCGTAGAGCAGACATGGTTTCTTGGGATGGACACGCAACTCTACCTTCTGTCACCTCCTCTGCTATTGGCTTTAATTAAAAAGCCAAGGTTAGCCCTATACGGAATTGGAGGTCTTGCTATGTGCTGCTTCACTTTGAGTATTGTCCCAACGTTGCTCTTTATACGAAATGAAAGCCAATATTCGTAAGAGAAATAATTTCGATATTATCCGAATTCATATATCGTCTTATTTTAGCTGGACTATTAAACAGTTGCATAGTTGGGCACCTTATAATGTGGCCAGTCCGTGGATGCTTGGAATTATTTTGGGCTACCTCATATACAGTGGCAATAACGCGAAAGCGAGCATAATCATTAACAAAGCAAGTTCGACAACCAATTATGAGGCCTAATTTAGTTTAAGTTTAGATCTACGTTGTAGTTATCTGGACGGCTGCCGTTGCTGTGATACTAGCCTGCATGTTTTATCAATTTAACGATGCTGTGTTAAGGGCCATTTCAAAAACCCTTAGAGGAACTGCATGGTCGCTTGCTGTTGCGTGGATTGTTTATGCTTGCCAATTTGGATATGGGGGTAAGTAGGTAGCTCGTATACTGCTCATCAAAAGTTTTTTCATCTTTCAAGGGATAGTAAACAGGTTTTTGTCTAGCAAAAAATTTAAATTTTTATCAAGGATATCGTATAGTGTCTTCTTATCGCATGTTTTAATTCAAGTCATGCTAATCGAAGGCATGCAGGTGCCAATCGTTTTAACAGAAAGTTATTTGGTAACATATGTAACTCGTAATAATTCTCAGTACTATGTTTTACTATTTCAGCTGGAAACAGTATGGATTAACTTTGCCATTACATTTGCAGTATCAATTTTTTTAACAATAACATGTGAATCCCCACTCATATCCATCGAGAAAAGGATACTAAGCGGTCCTGGTAGTAAGCAGGTACCTATGCGATTTAGTTACGTCCATTTAATTGGTCAATTTTAGGTCAAATGAAAAATACTGATGAGTTAAAAACCATCTGATGTGGCCATTGGACAACGATCTTATTAATCACAGTGTATATTACATTGTAGACAATCAGTCCAATTCTGTAACTTAAAATAACCTTAGCAACTTGCTAATAGTGAAGGTAATTGCTAGATAAGCAATATTTGTTAAAAGTGGTATTCTGTACTGACAAACTTAGCAATGTTGCCTAACATTTTAACAATTCAATTGCTTGACCCTAGCAATAGGTAAAGTGCCGTTGTTAAGTCTTAGCAAGTGTATTTCACCCGTTCAAATATGGCAGGTGGATGGTTTAAATCTCGGTTTAAATACGAATTTTTAAACGCTGTTGAAGATTCAATTCTTCCCATAATTCATATAGTTTTTAATATCGTTTGTTTGGAGCAGTTCTTTCATGAACTAACATGGCATTTTTGCGCATTTTCCAAAGAAGTTGGGTGCGCTATTGCAGCCAATTTTTTTTGAAATTTTAAACATAGCTGTCTCTAATAAAGATAAGCATATCGCATACTGTAAACATCAGATGTGCGCATGCGCAAACTGGCCAACTGCCAAATTTCTTATTTCTTATTTATAGAGAAATTTTAATAACAGATGCTTCTAGGAAATATAATCGCATTGGGCACCTGAACCAAGAAGAATCGTAACAATTACACTGCGCATCCGCATTATGTCCATTCAGTTACCTTTTAGGAACTACTGATCAATGCATGGAAAATGCTCTAAAGTTAATCGCCTTAGGGCGAAAACTTTTTTACTTGTTTTCTAATTATGGAATGTTGCTCCTATGTTGTTCTAGCGCCACGCTGTTTGGTATCTGTATTTTCCATGGCGAGCAAATACAAATTACAAGTCGCATGTCACTTTTAAAGCACAGCGCGCCTAATCGGTTAAACTTAAATCAAAAATATACCTAACCTTACAATTAAAAAGTTTAGACAGTTGTGAATTTAGGTGGTAAGTGCTAATGCGTCTAATTTTAGGCCCAGTGACAACACTCTGTCACTAAGTTCTGATTAGTTCGTACCTAGCAATTTGACGAAGTGTAGGAATATTAGCAATATTGCTCAAGTTGGTAGTTAGAGAATGACAAATTTGTTATTATTGTTCATAATATTGCTAGAATTTTGTGTGAGCAATCTTGCTATAGTTAGCAATATTGCAAACTTGTTAGTTACAGAATTGGACTGATATCATTAATAAAGTTTAGTGTATTATAGAGAAGGTTAAGTTACTCAGTAGATAGGAACATTTATAAATTATAATGGCATGTGTGTTCAGAATAAAGTTAAACCTTCAATATAACAACAAATAGTAACTTAAAAAAAAAAGATAAATTAAGGTGCATTAGTAAAATTTCGACATTTACTGTAATACAATAATTTGTTTTTATGATTATTCACTGCACTTCAAGTTCAGGTTCAGATGGTGGTCTGATTTTGATGCTGTCCTCTTTTTTTAATGAATACTATATAATTTATGTCGTCATAACATCACAAACAATGAATAACATCATTGTATTTATAAACGTTAATAAATACAATGATAAAATGCCACCAAAGAATTAATTGGAAGATATCTTTACTTTCATGTACCTATGAAAACAACACCAAGTGACGGTGCGGCCGGTAAAGTGATCTGCTCTGCCTCTGTCATGGAAACTAAAATCTCCTGACAGAAAGTAGGCATGAAAATGAAGGTTTCAGGACTATTTTGGGTAAAAAAATGATATTATATGCGCCTCTTTTTTTTTAAATTAATTTGGGCAGAAAATGGAAGTCCAAGGTTTTATAAGATATGTCAGTCAATTAGCAGACTCTGTGATATCATTAGTACTTAAAAAGGTTAGGGAATCTGTAAATGTAGAACCGCGTTACCGTTCTCCCATACGGGACAAGTGACTTCATCGCTTTACTCCTACGGTCAAAGGGTTTTTACGATCATGTCGGCCTGGATTATGAGTAAGCCTCACTCTTAAGTCATTTAAAAAACATATCAAAGGAGAGCTTGGACGTTAACTACTTCCCACGTAATTCTCCAGTCCATACTTTTGACTGTCTCTATATTTTTATCAATTAGATAATGCCTTTATCCTAAAACGGTTCAAGTGTGTTTCGTACGATTACATACTGTCCCACTATTACTATAACGAGTACAAAATTCATGGTGGGTACATTAATTATTGGTAAACACTTATCCAAATCATTTCAAGGTATTGACACTTTCAAATTGATAAAGATACCCACATTACATGCGATTTGATAATACTTTTCAGATCGATTTGACATCGCAATGCAAACTTCACGTGTTTTTGCCTGCCTATTATATCTATATCTGGTGGAAGCCCTTGTTCCAAGAGAAAAACTGAAAGCGTTCGACTTTTCCCCTCAACTAAGTAGACTAACTTTCGAAGGTTTCTCCAAAAATTGTTCGCAACAGCTATCAAAGTATGTCACGGATCTCATACATATGAAGCGATGGGCACTAGAAAGTAAGTAAGTACATAGTGCCAAGTTCAGTGGCAATTTTCATTTGCGGTTTTTAGTGTACGACGCGTCAGGAAAGTATCCAACGGCGAAAATGAACGCCAACTCTTACGCACTGGGATCTTTCGACCAGTGTATAAATATCGCCGAAGGTCCACCAGAAACTGTAATTTCCGGAAAGTACTGCATTGGTAAACTTCGTCCGAATTGGGAATTGACTGTCGTAGGTATCGCATGACGCTGTTTATGATCCTTAAATTAGTCTGCTTGCGTAACTAATATGAATAATTCTCTAAGTCATGTCTAAGCGCGGTTCTTTATTCGTCCCCGCTGAAAACGATGCGCCCGGTGGCCAGACCCGATTTTGGCATTTAAGCCCTTAAGATTACAGCCGAAATTGCCGTTTTTCTGTTATTTCGAGCCCCCAAGGCACGCCGTTTTGGGTACTTACGGGTAGAATAACATCTAGTACACACGACGGCCGCGTTTGGGCAGACTTTCGTATTCATATTAGGGTCAGTTTCGACAACAGGCCAGAAAGAAAAAAAAACACGCAAAATGACGAATTTTGAATTTTTTACGTTTAAAAGCGGCAGTTTGGCATATACGCCACTAATATGAGTACAAAAATGTGCCTAAACGGTGTCGTCGAAATAGGTCATTTGTCAATTGTTACACGAATTGCCTCTAGCATTTGGATTTGACTGCTATTATATACGATTAAATGCAAATAAACACATCAGTTGATAGCCATAAGCTTTTAGAGTTCATCTGGCTTTGACGAAATCCGCATTGGTATCTGCATACCCAGTACATGCACTGCAAAGGAAGTTGAGAGCTATTATCAGGAAATAAGCAGCATATCGGAGGATTCTTGTCAAACTACAAAAGATCACTTCCAATTAGACGCCGGAAGCAAAATTATTTTGTATGTGAGATGCCTATATAATGTTGAAAACACTGAATTCTTGCAGAACCTTTTTTGCGCTCTGGATTTTATGGGTCATATTCTCCACGATTTATGATATAGTAATTCAACACATGAATAAAGGTTAGTAACTAAAAAAAGTTGCAACGTTCATAACTATTCGTAATCATTTTAGAGCCTTTGCATTGGTTACTGGTTTCCTTTTCTTGGTATACAAACGCCAAGAGACTTTTTGATGTAACCACAGACGAAACTGAGATCGCTTGTTTACATGGAATGCGAGTATTAACGATGATATGGATCATTGTGGTGCATCATCATTTGAATGCTGGTGACTTTCCATTTAGGAATAACATCAAGAAAGAAGTAAGTTCTTATACTAAAGGTTTCCAAATTGTATTGTTCTTATTTTAGTTTTTCGCTACTCATATTACAAGGGGTATAATTGCCACAGGAGCCGAAACTTCGGTCAATACTTTCTTTTTGTTAAGCGGATTGACATTGTCTTATGTTTTCATGAGAAAAACTGCCAGGTTTGGGAAGTTCAATCTATTGGCGTTTTACGTTCACAGATATGTTAGATTGACACCAACACTGGGTGTCATTATTCTTGTTTACGTCTTCTTATTGAAGTACATGGGATCCGGGCCGTTGTGGCCCGAAATCGTTGAACGGTTATCTGCCTCATGTGAGACAAAATGGTGGAAAACGTTGTTGTATATTCAAAACTTTGACAGTCACATAGTAAGTGCCCAAAAGTAGTAACTTGTTAAAATTTCAAAAGAAAACCCAAGTAAGAGCGCAAATGTTGTTTTCTTTAATGACGCTTTGACGTGTAAATAGGAATTTGATTCGCACTGAAAGCAACGCTGGGCGTTCAGGTTTCCCTAGAACGAATACCTAACGACGCTCGAACCCCTAAACTATCGCAGAACATTGCACAGACAATGCGGCAGTCCTCACGAAGGATAACCCTACGCTACTCCCAGATTCCAGTTCAAAACATTGACTTATGTTTAATCTTAATCAATCTTCGTTAGTTTTTAAAAATTAAAAAAAATCCTTCCGAATTTTTTAATCCGGCAATAAAAGTAATCCGAATTTCACCAAATTTCCTGTGTAAGTTTTCCAGGAATTTAAGAACAAAAGTGTTAAATTCTTTGATCGCGGAGATATTCAATATGGCGTTCATTTAAAAAAAAGGTGATATTCTTATGTCAGTACCCCTAGAATTTTATTTCGGCATCACTTCTTCAGTGTGTCTTATATTCATATTAAAACACCTAACAGCCCATTTGGTTGGATTAAATTTCATGCTCCAAAATACTAAAGTTACCTGTGCATTTTGTGACAGTATAAAAATAACGTGGTATAATCCTGCAGTGCGTAGAACAGTCATGGTTCCTTGGGATGGACACGCAACTCTACCTTCTGTCACCACTGCTGCTATTGTCTTTACTAAAAAAGCCAAGGTTAGCTCTATACGCAATTGGAGGACTTGCCATGTGCTGCGTGGCTTTGAGTATTATTCCAACGTTGCTCTTTGCACGAAATAGAAGTCAATATTCGTAAGAGAGGTGGTTTCAATATTATCCTTATTCATCGTCTTATTTTAGCTCGACTGTGATGGAGATGCATGATCGGGCGCCTTATAACGTGGCCGGCTCGTGGTTGCTGGGAATGATTTTGGGCTACCTCATTTACAATAACAGTAGCAGAAAGTCGAACATAAATATTAATAAAGCAAGTCCAAAAGTCAATTATAAGGCCCAATTTAGTTTAAGTTTAGATCTATGTTGTAGTTCTCTGGACAGCTGCCGTTGGTGCAATACTAGCCTGCATGTTTTATCAATTTCACGGTGTTGAGTTAATGGTCATTTCCAAATCTCTTAGAAGAACTGCATGGTCGCTTGCTGTTGCGTTGATCATTTACGCCTGTCAATTTGGATATGGAGGTGAGTAGGTATCTCGCGTACTGCTCAGCAAAAGCTTTTTCATCTTTCTAGGGATCATAAACAGGTTTTTGTCTAACAAAATATTTAAATTTTTATCAAGGATATCGTATAGTGTCTTCTTATCGCATATTTTAATTCAAATTGTACTAATCGAAAGCATGCAGGTGCCTGTCGTGATAACACAAAGTTATTTGGTAGTATTTGTGACTTGTACATAATCTTCAGTACTATACGTTCCATTTTTTCAGCTGGAAACAGTATTAATTAACTTTGTCGTTACACTTCCAGTATCAATTTTTTTAACTGTAACATGTGAATCCCCACTCATATCCATCGAGAAAAGGATACTAGGCAGTCATAGGAGTAAGTAGGTACCTGTGTACCCCCGTTTAATTGGCGAACTTTTCATTTTAGATCAAATGAAAAATGTTGATAAGTCAAAAGGCATCTGATGGGGCCTTGGAGTAACGTTCATCATCGTTCTTAATAATTGAGTGTATATTACTTTATATAGACAATGGACCATATGAATAAAAGGGAGCATATGCTTATACTTACAAAATTCAAAGTAAATACTTGTAAGTGCCCCTTTCCACTGGGCTGCTCAGCAGCTCTGCGCTGCGTCCCGTCCCGTGGTTAAGCGGCGCTGCTAAGTCGCCCAGTGTGAGGGGGCACTTACGAGTATTTACTTTGAATTTTGCAAGTATAAGCATTATGCTCCCTTTTATTCATATGGGCCATTGTATTTAGAGGACAGATCACATATTTATGTGTGTTCCAAATAAAGTTTAACATTGAATCTGTACAAATATTGATTTAATAAAAAATACATAAATGAAAACATCAGTGTTACTGTTGCCAACAAAGCCTGTGTTTGGGCAATTAAAATTTACCACGGGCGGCCTACGATTAGCATAAATGTATAACGATAATCTCCCTGAAAAAAAGGAGGCAATAAAGGAACAAGTGCAGATGTACAACAAGCGAGTAATAAATTATGCACAATTCTTGTGCAGATAAACCGTAATAACTTAGTAAATGGTTGGGTTATAAGGTAGTAGCATGCTATCGATGCTTACTTTCCTGGTAGACGTTTAATGGGGAGGAGGCTCTTTACATATAAACATTTAAATTTTGATAAGGGGCCAGAAAGAAAGAAAGGCGGCAGAGAGACCCCTGATCTTGAAAAAGAGTCGCTCGGGAAAGTTATAGTTTGTACAAACCAATTCGTTTCGAGGAGACCTTCATTAGAATACCATGAACCTGTGTTTACCCTCCTCCCCCCCCTTGCATTTTCAATGGCACCACTAAAGGCATGGGTTTGTAAAATGTGAGACCATTGGTTGTCGCATGTAAAAGTTAGACACGTATTACTTTCAAAAGCAGCATATCAGGAAATAATTCATGCCCCCCCTCCCCCCGCCTTAAAGACAGCGAAACTTTATGGCCTTCAATGTATAGGCTACCTATATTGCAAAAAATTCCAGGACTCTAGGACCATTCCCCTAGAAGTAGTCGATGAAGAGAAGAGAGTTAAGTTACACTAAATTGCCTATTAGCAGTTTCTCAACTTATTGATCTCATTGTTGATGCTCTGGAAGATCGTTGTAACGCTACTGCCCTTCTGTATGATCTGACAAAAGCTTTTGACTGCGTGGTACCCTCAATACTACTGCAGAAGTTGCATTATTACGGAATACGTGGAAAACCACTAGATCTTTTTCAGTCTTATTTAACCGACCGCATGCAGTGCGTTTCTTTTAATAACAAAAATTCCGATCTAGAAGCGGTAACTCTTGGCGTCCCACAAGGCTCCGTATTGGGTCCAATTTTATTTCTTCTCTATGTCAATGATTTACCAAACTCAATTAGTGCAGGTAAATGTGTGCAATTTGCAGATGATACCACTGTGTTTTGTAAGGCCAAAGATACGCTTACACAAAATGAATGTATCGCCATTGCTGATAGACAAATAAACGACTGGCTTCAATGCAATAAATTAAAACATAACGTCAGCAAAACTCAAAAAATTAATTTTACCGCCACCAGATCTATTTGTACCAGAAACTCGGTCAAATTGCTAGGTATTACATTAGACAATGAACTCAATTGGGAGACTCACGTGGATAGATTATGCACGACATTATCTTCCAACATTTATTTGTTATTAAAATTACGACAATGTGTAAATGTTCATGTACTCATATCAAGCTACTACGCTTTCATTCACTCCAGAATTAGCTACGGGATAACTGTATGGGGCAGATCTCCTCATTCTGAAAGAGTCTTTAGAATTAAAAAAAAAGCTGTGCGGATTATTGCCAGTATTGGAAATAGAGATCATTGCAGAGATGTGTTTAAATATTTTAAAATAATGCCATTACCATGCATAGATATTTATAACACATTAGTTGATATCCATAAATTAACAATCTCTAAAGGAGAAGTATCAGATAGGAGCATCCACAATTACAACACTCGCCATTGTCAATTGTTATTGCCCCCAAAATTTAAGCTATGCGTGTCCGACAGAAACTCACTGAATGTAAAACTCTACAACAAATTGGATAGTCAATTAAAACTAATGTCATTGCCTAAATTTAAAATTAATGTTAAAAAACTCGTGTTGCAAAATTGTTTTTACAGTATCGTAGAATATTTGAATACTCCTTAATGCACGCGAATCTAGTCTTGTAGTTCCTAACATACTGTGATATTTTTAATGTGTGAAATATTTATATATATCTATACTCGTTTATATCTCATGTACCATTTTGACGTGACAAACAATGTAAATTGAATAGGTCCAATAAACATTATTATTATTATTATTATAGAAAATAAAATATTCAGAATATTGTAAAAATGGATACAGTTCACAGTATAGGTAAAACATTAAGTTCAATTAATAGTTATTTACCTATTATACAAGATGATAGAGGGATGTTTTAACAATCGAGTAAATTAACTTTTACGTGATGGTTAGTTTCCCTTTATCGCCGTGTATAGTACAATACTGTATTTTATAGCAAAAGTCTTAAAATCATGATAGAACTTTTGAAAATTCTGTAGGGACGACGTCTAAAATAGTAAGCTTAGGCTATCACGTCGTTTCAAAGGAAACAACATTGTATTGTGTTCTGTACTTAATTTTATTTTGTGCTTGGATTCCATTTCTTCATTACAAAGCAGCTAAAAGTTACTTGTAGAATGATCCTCCTAACAGTCGTAACCATTGCCGTTAAGATGATCACTTTGTCTACCCTAACTGTTAAAGAGACATTCAGCCTATTTTATAGATTTAATTAATAGCTATATCGTTGGATTTACAATTATCTAATGGCCGTTTGCACCGACAAATTTAAGCGGCGCTTAGCTCAAGCGTAGCTTAAAATCCATGGTAACCATTATCGCAATAATCGTTGCCATGAATTTTTAAATTTGTCGATGGGAAGGGCCATAATAAAAGTGTTAATTTAATATGTTGTGCCATTTCATTGATATGTTCAATTTAGTTTAATAAAACCTAGATAACCTAGGTACATATTCCATTACAACAGACTACTCATTCAAACCTGTTAAAACGTCAATTTCGCGTCTGGTATAAAATAAAAACTAAACTAGTAGAAAATGATCAATTATAAACGATAATTTACTTTCGTATATTACAAATAAATAAATTAAGATGAACGATCTGGCTTACAAAATAAAAATTCGTCTTTTCTGGCCCAAAGTAACCTCCCAGTCACAGTAGATACGGTGTTGCTATTGATAACTTTTCTGCAGTACAATGTTTTACTGGCCGTTTCAAGGAAGGTTTTGAATGTTTCTAAGAATTCTAAACTCTAAGGAGCTTTCTAACATTCTAAGAAGTTTTTACCTACTCACAATCGGTAGTTATATCTGAATTTGTAACTTTCAAAGCGGTCGCGAAGCGAGTTATTACTAACATTCTTTTTTGGTTAGCATGTGTCACTTTCCCTATATATCTGTAAATGCCATTAAAAGAATCCATTGAGTATGTAATTGTAGAAACCAAAGTAATAACGATAACATCAAAACTATTTGAAAATATAACCTGAGTGTACTCAAATTCACTATTATGAATTCTACTACAAACATTATTTTGAATGATCGAATGAAATTATTATAATGATCTTATTGCAGCGCCATAAAACGTGCATAAAGACAATTTGCCATCAAAATTACATTATCAGCACCACTGTCCCCAACTGCCGTGGGTTTGCAGTCGTTTACAATGTTCCTTGCCACCTCTTCCTTGTTTGGATAGTTCGGTTTACGTATTAAATTAAACATGTAGTTGGAGATAAAAGTTTCCAACGCCGGATACACTAAACGACCATTGTCATCTAGAACTCCCGCTTCCGTCGCCCAGCAGTCTACGTACTCATTGTACCTCTCGTCACCTCTAGTTAGTACAAATGATTCGCTGACATGACTGTTTAGAAAGGCCTTATCTACGCCAAGTCGTTCCATGCAAATATTATCCTCTTTTGTATAGAAACTGTTATCTAAATCAAGAGCTAATACCTGAAACTTTGAGATTTGTGCGCAATTGTTATAAGCTAAAGTCTAAAGGCATACCTGGAAAACTGAGTGAATGATGAAGAGGTTTTTTAAAAATTTATCCATGATGAACACGATGCGGTAAAGAGACTAGTTGTGTAGAGTTATTATCAATTAGACACAATGAGTAATACGTGTTATCAATGAGCTTAGTAAATAACGCACGAATTAACAAATTGCACAATTATCAGAGTATCAAGGGGCCAAGGACTGCACCAAATTCGATAATTCTTTTTTGTACTTGTTATAAACAGGACATGTTTATACAAGAGATAATTTTAAAAACAAGTTTCCCTCAATCGCAACTGGCGCCTGGCTAAACCGTTCATCCGATTGCGATGAATCTTTGGACGTACCGCGAAGGTTTCTGATGTCGAGTGTGATTTACAATACAATGTACAAATGAATTTCTTGATTATCAGGAACTGGTATTTCTAAGAGCTGAGGTTATTAGCGATTATCTTGGATTGGATCCTTCGCCCAACAGCATAACGCGACCTTTGAGGTTACAGTAAATTTTCACAAAAAACGTGAATTAGGTATGTACCTACAATAAAATCCATCGAGATTAAACTTTCGATCTAAACTGTCCCCGTTTCGCGCTGATTTACTCACACTTTCTGTACGAAAATACGGACTTTAGCCTGTAACTCGGTGGTATTTCATCGAACACATCGTTAACGTTAACATCCTACTTGTACTTGTTTCCTCGTGATTTCTGCCCTATTTTTTTTGGGTAAATATAAAAATACCGAATTCAAACCTATTTTTGAAAAGTTTTGACCAATATAAAAAAAAATCGTGACATTTTAAATGTTGGATATATGTAATGTGTCTATAAGAGAAGATACATTACGTAAGGTTTAAGACTTTTAAAAGTGCAGAGAACAACAGATTTAAAAGAAAAATGACTCTTCTTATACTGGTAGATCTGCGATAACTTTTGACTTTGCTAAATTCTAAATTTGAAGTAATGATCTTGTTGCAGGTAGAAATTTGGTGAAGTGTTTTTCAGTTTTTTGTGCCGAATTGAGGTTCAAATTTACAAGTCACCCTTACAGCTCCAGGAAAAGAATGGTCCTGTGGTAAAGGGCGACTAAAATGGAACTAAATGATTCACGGGATAAGAAATTCACTCCCATCAAAAAGGAAAGGGCACACTCTAGTCGTTGAGAAATCTCTACAAAAGGGTGGACGAACGACTAGTCAACGGCATAGGATGCAGAAATGGATACTTCGCATATTAAGATTAATACCGGAACAACAATATTATCCCTTTAACCGGATTTCCGGGAGGAGAAATATACGAAGTGTGCGTCTATGAAGAAAGAGAGCAATAGGGCTAGATTCAGAACGTGGAATGTTAGAAAGTCAAAAACTAGAAAACTTCTAAAAAGGTAAATTGGCGGACGTGAAGTGAGATGGAGTGGATGTAGAATAGAAAAAACGGAACATTTCATCTCCTGGTACAGTGGAGATAAAAAAAGGAAGAAATGTAGTGGGATTTATGGTTAATAAAATAGTACAGTCTGTTTCTTCTTGCAATTAAGAATGAGAAAAATCAAAAAATACGTTTTCAATTGTGTTTATTTTGACAACAACTCGTTACTATATTGTAATATAACTTGATTTTTAATCAAATTGCGCTAACATAGCCGGCCGCATTAAACGATTCGTTTAATTATTCATCTTCATTAAGCAATGGACATAAATTACGTACTGCCCGCTTATATAATCCAGATTTTGTTTTAATAGTCGCTACTCTGATTATGTTATCATCACCGGGATGAACTTCGATAACTCGTCCAATTTTCCAGTGCGCAGGAGGTGTATTATTTTCTCTAATTAACACGATAGTCCCCGGTTTGACATTATCTTGTGCTGTTTTCCATTTTGTACGAATTTGGAGATCTCCAAGGTAGTCCCTTGACCAGCGATTCCAAAATTGTTGTTGTAGCTTTGATAAATACTGCCACCTGGATAATCTATTAGTGGGAATCTCCACGAAGTCAGTGGTCGGTATGGCCGTAAGTCGACGACCAATAAGGAAATGAGAAGGAGTTAGTACTTGATAGTCATTAGGGGAAGAAGAAAGCGGGTAAAAAGGGCGCGAGTTCAATAAAAATTCTATTTCAACAATTACTGTTAAATACTCTTCATATGCAAGTAATGCATCGCCTAAAACCCGCTTTAGATGAAATTTAGTTGATTTTACGCCTGCTTCTGCTAGGCCGTTGAAATGTGGTGATGAAGCTGGGGAAAAATGCCACTTAATCCCTTCATAAATTAAAGACTTTTTAAATTGATCTACATTTTTGTTAAGAAATTCAAACATAGTTTTTAAGTCATTATTTGCTCCTATAAAATTACTACCATTGTCACTGAATATGTTATGTGGTTTTCCTCTTCTAGATGCAAATCTTCTAAATGCAGCTAAAAATGCGTTAGTAGAGAGATCAGACACTAATTCAAGATGACATGCCTTAGTAGAAAAACATACACTGAGAAAAATAAATAGTTGAAACAACCAGAAAATACTTCCCTCAAACAGTTTTTGATGTTAAATATGGCCAATGTAATATACGCATTGTACGAAAATAGAAATTTTGTTAAATAAAAGGTATTCAACTGAAGTCATATTATCAGTTGATTAAATAATAGTAATTGGTTAACTCAACATATATTTCATATTTTGCCTTAGTAGTCTAAAGTTTTAAACCAAAAATAATTATGTTGTAAGGAATGCAATTTGATGTTCATTCAAACATACAATATCGTTGAACCAATGTTGAAGCATTTTTATACCAACCGTTCATCAATGTTAGATCGATGCTGTATTAGAATTGAACCAATGATTGTTATTATTCCATTTAAATAGGTACTGGTGATTCAGTGAAATACGTAAAGCTGTTAATTTTATTTATTTATACTGTTGTCAATCTTACAAAACGAAAATATGATTTTTATATATTTATAGGCAAGTATAGGCATTCAATGGTATAGGTACAGGACGATTTTAAACTAACGGAGAAAAACTAATATATTCAGTAGGACAAGATATTTTACTTGTTTTTATTCTACTGAATTTATTCGTTTCCCATCACAATACGAACAAATTTTCCATATGCCTAATGCAATTGTTCCGATTCTACAACAGAAAAAATGTGCACAGGAATATAAGAAATTAAGTATGGGTAGGTACCTACTTACAATTGTTATGAATTTATGATTTATTGTCCAGATAGGTAATTAGATTATTTTAAATTAGCACTGAACGAACACTACCACAATCCCTATTCAACAACCTGTTTCATTATGCTTATAGTTCGCGTCGCGTCAATGCGTAGATACTGCTGTCATTGGAGTTTCTGTTTCTGAAATCATTATGCTGACTTCATTCCACTTAGTTTCAATTGAACTGCGTTTATTTTTGAAACAACACTGTTTTGTGCGTTGGATGAAACATGTAAGATGCTCCTTGAAAGTTGTAATAATTGTACACAGTACTATTATTTTACTTGGAGGAAATATCAGATACTGTAGATTGGAGTGTAAGCGACTGTTGGAATAATAGCGCCCTTGTATTGTCACAACATAATAACGCTATCAAATCACACATCCCTGAATGTTCCCAGAAAAAAGTCTAACGCTTGATTCGAAAAGCAAAATAATCGAGTCAAACAAATTTCATGTTGTTTTGTAATCAATGCGTAAGTAGAGTTCCTTTTAATAATATAAACTCAACAAAAAAAATTGATTAAAAGAATCACAATCCCCAGTTTGATACAACTAGTAGCCACATTTCTCGGATAAATGTATTCATTGCTTCAACATTTTGTACTCAATGTTGTAAAATTTATTGAAACAAGCATTCCATTTTTCTCAGTGTACAAATATACAAATATATGCTTTCGTTATTTTGCATCCTCGTCCTTGTCTATCTTTTAATTTAATTGGACCACAATAATCAACCGCACAATTGGTAAATGGTGGTGACGGAGTGACTCTAAACTTTGGCAACTGTGCCATTATAGGAGCAAAAGAATTTGCTGCGTGTCTACGACAAATCACGCAATTTTTTATTACTGTTTTTGCAGTCATACGCGCAGACAATGGCCAAAATCTTTCTCTTATAATAGCAATGAGAGAATTAGGGCCGCAATGTAAATTCTTTATGTGTTCATATTTAAACAAAAGTTTAGTAAAGTAATGTGATCGAGGGAGTACAATTGGATGTTTTTTCTCATATGCAAGTAAAGCTTTACTGAGTCGACCTGTAAGTTTTATCAAGCCATCATTATCGAGAAAAGGCGTTAATGAATTTATTTGTTACTCAGTTGTAAACGTTGATTAACAAGACAAAACGCAAACGGGTAAACGTCATGTTTAAACGCTACTGACTTGTAAAACTGACAGCAGACCTGTAAAAATTTTACAAGTTAGTAATCTAGTAATTTCATTGGCCAGAATTAATGCGAAGTCTCTGTTACATGGATCACATGATATTTTAGACATTTCTTCAAGATCAATTTAAGAACTAGGTAATTATTTGCGTTTACAAATGAGTAACAAATAAAATATTGTACATTATACGCCAGGTAATAGTTTTTACTGGCTCTAGGAGATGACAGGCTCGCCTAACGGCTCGCCAGTCAATTTCTCCTATCGCCAGTAAAAACTCACTTACCTGGCTAATAATGTAAAATACTATTAATTTACTACGCTTAGGACATTCTTTTCCCAATAAAAAGGCTTGGTACTCATTAGGAAAACTTTCTTGTTGAATTACCTTTACGATTTTATTAAGTGCATTATTGCGTTCAATTAATGAAAGATGCTCAGTATTAATTTTAGAAGAATTACGACTATTATTGATAAATCTTAAAACCCAACACATTACTGATACTAGTTTATTAAAATTTGAAAATTTGAAATTAAATTACTTATTTGGTTTTGAAATTGCACTATTGTTAATATTATAGGTTTTGGAGTTTTTAACTCAGGTAGGTCAATATTATTGTCATTGCATTCTGAAAAATACTCCGTGGTACTACATAACCTTTCTGGACCAAACCACCATAAACTATTAGATATTATTTCCTTTGGATATAAACCACGAGATATTAAATCCGCAGGATTATGGTTTGTTGATACATACTTCCACGAATGTGAATTAGTTAACTCCAATATTTTTTAAATACGATTCGCAACAAATGTTTTTAATATGTTAAGTGGAGTACTTATCCATCTTAAAACAACAGTAGAATCGGTCCATAAAATGCAATTATCAAATTGAATTCGAGACGATTTGAGTACTTTATTTACTAACTCTGAAAGTAATACTGCACCACAAAGCTGGTTCATCCCAAGATAATTTAAATTGCCACAAATTTCGCATAAAAATTTTTGTTTTACATATTACGGGTGCAATTAGTCCTAATGGATCAAAGAGTTGAGCGATGTATGATAATACATCTCTTTTCGTCAGTGTATTTGGAATTAGGGTTGTATCAATTTTAAAACATAGTTGATCTTGGTAATGTAACCAAGGTAATCCAAGAGTTTTTAATATGTTACAAGAACTATCTGAAACTGTTTGATGTTCAATATTTTTTAATAACGAATTACTAATACTTTGAATTATTTCGGAGCTATTAGATGCCCACTTACGTAACGGCATTTTTGCAGATTGTAATATGTTATAAATGTCCTTTGATGTTTGAATTAATTCTTGGGCAGAATCACATCCGGTTAATAAATCATCTACGTAGAAATCTTGAAGTATAGCTATGGAAGCTTTCGGAAAAATTGCTTGTGACTCTAATCCAAGTTGATGCAAACACCGTATTGCTAAAAAAGGTGCGTTTGATGTTCCATAAGTAATTGTATTTAGTTTATAAGTTTTAATATTATCTTTTGGATCTTCTCTCCAGAAAACTAATTGAAATTGCCTATCTTTATCATCAACAAGTATCTGCCTGTACATTTTTTCTATATCTGCACTTACAACGAATAAATTTTGGCGAAAACGAATCAAAATTGAAAATAGATCTGATTGAATAGTTGGTCCAACCATTTGTAAATCGTTTAGTGACTTACCAGATGAAGTTTGTGCAGATGCGTTAAAAACGACACGCAGTTTTGTTGTTAAACTTGATTCACGAATTATTCCATGATGTGGCAAATAATAATTTGGAGTAAAAGGTTCCGACGTAAGTAATGTCATATTACCTAATTGAATATATTCTTGCATAAATTCATTATACTTCTTTTTTAGATTAAGATTTCTATTGAACCTTCTTTCTAAACATTGAAACATTTTTAATGCATAATTTTTAGAGTTTCCTAAATGTTAATGTGTTGTACAATCCTTAAAGGGAATTCGTACAATAAATTGTCCTGAAGAATCACGTTTGTACGTAGTTTTAAAATGATCTTCGCACAATGTTTCTTCTTTTGACCATACACAAATATTAGGCACCGATTCCA